GTTCCTCACAGTGTTCCTCTCACTGTTCCTCAGACTGTTCCTCTCACTGTTCCTCACACTGTTCCTCACACTGTTCACACACTGTTCCTCAAACTGTACCTCACACTGTTCCTCTCACTGTTCTTCTCACGGTTCCTCACACTGTTCAACACACTGTTCAACACACTGTTCCTCTCACTGTTCCTCAAACTGTTCCTCACACTGTTCCTCTCACTGTTCCTTTTGTAAACCTGCCCGAGGTCTGGCTGACAGCTTTTACCCAACATTTGCGTAAACATATGCATCACCCCGGCAGTTTGTTTAAATTGTGATCGTCTTTGTTGTCTTAATTGTTTATCAGTGTTTCCTTTCTCCATCTCTTCTCCTCTGTTGTGTAGCTGCCACCGACCTTTGGGAGAGCACCGGACAGGAAGTGGCCTCTGCGCTCCGGGCTATGGGTTTGCCGATTGGGCCGGTGGTTACCATGGAACCAGGCAGCAAAGGCAGGGCTCGGGAGGCGCTGAACGAAATCAGAGAAGCCGACAAGGTCAAAGGTCAGAGCTAAGAGATGATCGTTAAGTTGCATCCCTGAACTGAACACATCAGATCAGAGAACTTTTTATTTCACCTTCAGTGGTCATCATGTGCATGAGCTCTGTCCTGATTGGTGGAGAGGATCAGAGGGAGGTACTGCTGACCGCCCTGGAGATGGGGATGGTTTCCAATGGTTACGTGTTCATTCCCTACGACGCCCTGCTGTACGCGATGCCCTATCAGGTAACGACCAACAAGTTCTCAAGGAGGTTTTATTCCATTTTCTCCGATCGTCAAAAAGAAAACTGAGTCAAGCAAACTTTTCTTATTTACCACCCATACACCACCCCACTGCCTTTACATATTAATCATGACATGTTTAACTAAAGGCAGAGTTCTGATTGGTTCCCTCCCTCTCTGTTTTATCCAATCAGCACACAGTCTTCAACCAGCTGACCAATAGCACGCAGCTTCGTCACGCCTATAGTGCCGTGCTGACTGTTACCATGGCATCCGACCAGAGTTTCTATGAAGCTTTCCGCGAGGCTCAAATGAGCCGAGAGATTCACTCGGGTGTCTCCGCCACAGAGGTAAACAAACAAACAACAACAAATACGGGCTTTAATGTTCTGATGGATTCAGAGGTAAACAAGTAAATAACGTGTAAACAATGTGTACGTCCCCAGTAAACGAGAGAATCTAATGTGACAAAGTGTTGTCCTGTGTCTGCAGGTGTCTCCTTTGTTTGGGACTATTTTCAACATGGTCTACTTCGTTGCAAAGGCAGTGGAAGAGCGCCGTCAGGCGGGGAGTGGACACTGGGTGACGGGCAATCAGCTCATGAAATCAGATGGAGGCTTTGATTTTCAGGGATTCAATCAGGTCACACAGATTTCAGCACTCGCTAGCTGAGTAACTAACTAGTTGCTGCTTTCAGTGTCAAAGCTGAGATAAAAGACGTTCTCCTCGTTTCCTTCAACAAACTGCTCCAGATCAGATAGACTCGTGACACTCAGAGGGAGAGAGGCAAAAACTACAACAAGGCGCACTTCACGGTTTTTAAAACTATGACCTAAAACTCAAGTTTTGTTTTGTGGCAGTGAAGAGTTACTCATGACTGAACCTTCTAGTGTCAGATGACTCTGATCTGGGAACAGTTCGTTCTGATTAAGTTAGACAGACTAATTGAGTCTCTGTGTCCACAAACACAAAAGAGTTTTAATAATTGTTTTTCACCACTTAATACAACATGATCACATCTATCCTGTTGTTAAGTGTTTGCATAAAGTTCTCTAAGGAGCTTGGAAAGATTTTCAGTGCACACTGAGAAGAATAGAAACCTCAACACTGAAGTTTACCGGAAACCGACACACATGGACCAGAACCTTTGACTCTGAAGTTCTCCAGAGGCAAAGAGGTAAAGAACTAATCATTTGACCCTGATGACCCAGGGTGAGAGCTAAAACCTGCAGGACCTCGAGGCCTGGAGTTTGAGACCCCTGAATTAGAGGATCAATAATGGGTCAACAACCCTCTTAAGGGACACTCCCACAGACGCTTTTCTTTCCAAGCTCCTTAGACCATGATGACCTGGATGACTAAGAAACTTCACAGACATTTAGAATAAAGTTAATAAATTAATAATTTCTGAACCACAGAATTTGATTTGATCTTTTTTGTTTTGCATCATCATCATTTTCATCATGTCCTCACCTTAAACTCAATGGTACAATCAGCTTCTGTCTTCTTCCCTATCAGGTGTTGTATGGAGGTACTGAGGGGCGTGGCCTGCAGGCCAGCTACGTAGTGTTGGACAGCGATGGCGACCGCCTCGTCCCAACACACTCACTCTCTCCGACGCACACCGACGGGACGACCGGAGGTCTGAGACCGCTGAGCCGTTCCTTTGTTTTCCCGGGAGGAAAACCCCCCTCAGCCAGCTTCTGTTGGTTTAATCCAGATGAGGCCTGCAGTGGAGGTGTGTTTACTGACCCACAGAGAGGGTGGGAGCTTTGTGCTTCAGTTCAAATGAGGTCTTAATTACACCTATAGTTTCTGTATGTGTCGTGATTTAGTGTTCATGTTGACAAAAGGTTGCTGTCTGGCATGGCTATAAATGTGGAAACCTCTCCACTCCCTGCAGGTATGGGCGCTGTAACTGTGCTCTTCCTCTTCCTGTTGCTCTGCACTCTGCTTGGAGGCCTTTTCTTTTGGAACAGGTTAACACACAGGCTTAATCTCACACACTCCTCTCTAACGTACCTGGTGCTTATTCTGCTTTCAGTCTGGTTCTCAGTCATCATGGTAGTCTAAGAAGCTTGGAAAGAAAAGCGTCTCGACTTCTTTAAGTTTCGTGAAGACATTTCATAGGCAAAGCTTCTTGAGCTCTAACACCAAATGGTGGAATGACCGAGGCTTTAAGCCCTAGTGGGAGTTGTCCCTGGAGAGGGTCGTTGACCCATTATTCATCATGTGACTCATCACATGAGCCGATGTATTAGTGATGTGTCAGTCGTGAACGAAACGGCTCTTAGAGCCGACTCTTTGAAGTGAACGATGCGAGCCGGCTCCTTATTGGTAGCCATGTTTTTTTTTCTTTCTCTCACCCTCTCTCTTGCACTTTTTTCTGCTTCACTCTGCACACCTTGTGCTTTGCTGGGCAGAGGGGGGAGGGGCGGTAGTTCCACTCAGTAGCAGTGTTGCCAACTCCTCAGTAAGGAAAATCGCTATTGGTTGTCCTAAAAGTCGCTATAAGTCGCTAAATGACATCATCGCCTAATTTGCATAATTGGTCATGCTAATCTAATTGTAACCTACGTTGTTGGAGAGAGAAATAACATCGTGGAAGAGACATAAGTGAGTAAAAAACGTCCTAAATGCATTTAGAGTTTATTTAGAACTACAAATTTAATTTATTTTAGCAGTTATTGTTTTTCTTAATGTCACAATTCCAACCCTGCTCCTTCACCCGGGCTTGGACCGGCAAAAGTGACCCGAAATAGGCGCTCTGGTGGAGTTACTTTGTGTGTGTGTTTATAAGTAGTTTTAAACCTTGTCATCCACAAAACAGCATAAGAGTAAAAGAAGAACTGACTGCGTTACAGTCAGTGCGGGAGCAGCGGCTTTGCTCGTGCGCGATTCATTTGCAGTTGTGACGCATAGGTGTGAACATCTTCTGCCCTGATAGCAGCTGGGGGAGGACTATCCTCCGCCTGTGAGCGCTTTGGAACGGGTGAGGGCCCCACGGCAGCACCGCTGCTTGGTGAGAGTTGGCAACACTACTCAGTAGCACAGGAACATAGCGGGGAGGAGAGAGAGAGAGCCAGGGACAACAACATCACATTAGAAAGGTGTAGTAATCACCCACAACTATTTTCAGTTGCAGATGATAAAGGATTCAGAAAGTTTATTCATGCAGGCCCATATGACAGAGAATATGCATGTTCTGTTTGTTTTCATATTTTAATTTATATTTAATTGTGTTGTGGTTTGCAGTGTTTAATGTTGTTTCGCTTTTAAAAGGAAAAAGCTGAAAATTTAAATAGTTAAAAGTTGAACTGTAAGTAATTGGTTTTTCTATTATATGATTTATTTATTACATTTTATGTGAATAAATATAAGTATATTTACGGTGGCCCCTACAGACAAAACACGTACAAAAGACAACAGAAGTGCTCCAGGATGCTAGGGGGCAGTGTTGAGCTATTGTTACCTCGTGGCTACACAAGCCAAGAAGTACCAACGACCAGATCTGGTGTGTGGTAGTAACAGGTAAATGAACATTGTTTTTAAATTATTTGAATATATATGAGTGCTTGTGTATAAATACACAAACAATACACACATGCTTTCAATTGTGTAATTTAAGTGATCTAGTAGCTCTGCTTTGGAAGTTCAGTTCATGCTAGAAATGTGTTTTGGAGTTTGTACGTGTTTTGTCTCGAGGGGCCACCGCATATATTTATATATAAACATATAAATAAAACCACATTTTTTTTACATTAGTAATTCCTTTTGTGCATAATTTTATATTATTGTTAATAATAAATTAATTAAAGCAACAAAACAACCTGAAGAGCCGGTTGGGAGCCGAAAGAGCCGGTTCTCTAAAAAGAGCCAGAAATCCCATCACTACGAGGTATGAGGGTCATTTTTAGCAGACGTAGCCAACCTTTACATGGAGGAAGTAGAAAGTATGACTCTTGGCAGCACCTCGCCACTGGTGCAGACACGTGTATGCCACCTAACAGTTTGCTGTTTCTGGACTGTGCCGTGCACATTGAGGAGAATCGAAATCTCAACATTAAAGTTTACTGTAATAGAGAGAAGATAGATGGTTTGAAAGAGGAGTGAAAGAAGCCATCTATGTCCACTGTGAATGACCATCTTTGAACAGAGGGCGGGGCTTATCACACCAACTGTCGGCCATCTGTAATCCAGTCTCTGATGCTTCCCAGGCGCCTTAAGGTCTCACAGTGGGTTCACCCAAAACCTCTGCTTATAATGACTCACACCCACCTTGGCTCATGTAATGAGGCCATGATCAAGAGTGGGCCAATGACCCTTTTAAGAGGCCACTCCCACTAGGGCTTGAATACCTGGGACTCTCCACTATATAGTCTTAGAGTTAAGGAAGGTTTCTCAGACAGAGCCTCTTTAAGAAACTTGAAGTCCAGTAGTTTTTCTTTCCAAGCTTCTTGGATTTCTGCTGCGTAGTTCAAACAAACAAACAAACAAACAAACAAGCCATAACCACCCTGAACTCACTGACGACATAGTTCCACCCCCCAGTCCAAGGACTTCCTTCCATACACAGTCGACCGTCACCACTGTGTAACACTTAATTTAAGTGCAATGACCCACACTGTAAATATATAACACGACTTATGTTTTCATGATGTGTGCATATTTTATATAGTTTGAATTGGGGCTGTTCATATGTACAGTGCTGCAGAACTGTGCATCTTTCTTTTCTCACATGTCTCTGGACAGGAGTACTAAGGGAGCCGTGACAGCAACCAAAATGATCCTTACTCTGGACGACATCGTCTTCATCGATACTCAAGTCAGCCGGAAGGTCAGAGAATGTTTACTGGTGGTAACTTCTGTTCAATCTGGTACCATTGCTGGTACTGGTGCATCTGTAGTTCTGTAGAAAACTGGGAGCAGCAGGAGCTCCTAACAGGAGCTACTAACAGCGAGGCATGTTTGACTAATGAGCTAATCGATGAGCTGATCAATGGGCTGATCAATAAGTTGATCAGTGAGCTACCTTTGGTCAGATTGTTGTTGTTTCCATAGAAACTCAACGATGAGTCCATCATGAAGAGTCTTTTGGAAATGAAAACTCCATTGCGATCGCTCGCTCGAAGTTATATCCTCACAACACCGGAGAGCTCCAACATCGGGATACTGGAGGTATTACCTGCACCTGTGTGAGCCTGCCTGTCCTGTCACATTCCCTGATTGGCTGTGCTGTTTTCAGGGTGACTGGGTTTGGCTGAAGAAGTTCAGTACTGGAAAAACACCAACAGAAGCCAATCAAACCACCCAGAATATGTTCAGCCAGGTATGATGAGCAGAAAATCTACAATAGAAACACAACGGACACAGATTCTATTTGTTCCTGTGTTTTCTGTTCTGTTGTTTGGCGCTACCATCTGTACGTGAAACAGATTAACAGTATTGCAGTATTAAGAGTATTTTCTGCCTGGTGTTCAGTTGCGGGAGATGCGACACGAGAACCTAAACCTGTGCCTGGGTCTGTTTGTGGACTCGGGGATCTTCGCCCTGGTGGTGGAACACTGCCCCCGAGGAAGTCTGGCAGACCTGCTGGCTGACGGCAACGTGAGGCTGGACTGGATGTTTAAATCCTCACTGCTCATGGACCTCATCAAGGTACTGCCGAACCCCCTGTCCCTGGTGTTCACTTATATCTGCTATGAGTAGTGGTGGTCGGGGGATGAACTTTTTTGTTTTAATTGATGTTGATAGAGTTTATTAGATAATCACTGTTTGTACAATGCTGCTACTTATACAACAACTGGTGCTGTGAGCATTACTCACACTAGTACTCTCTAATTATTAATAGTGCCATGATAAAACACTGCTGTCCTAATGAAGGATCTATGAACTAGTCTGATAAAGCTCAGGTTTCACGACTCGACTTCTAAGTCAATTAATTATGCAGCTCTATTCGACTTTATCTATGATATCTTTGAAGACTGTTTCATTTCTGATCAGACCGATCAGGTTACTGATATTTGTGTTTGTTTCAGGGCATGAAGTACCTTCATCTGCGAGGTTTGACTCATGGCCGTCTGAAGTCAACAAACTGTTTAGTTGATGGTCGCTTTGTTCTGAAAATAACAGATTATGGACTCCCTATGATCCTGACATCCCAGAGGATCAGCATTCCTGAGGATCCACACGGTAGAAACATGAGCACGCTCAGATGTTTGAAGTTTATCTCAGACGCTGTATCTCTGCTTACACGTGTGTTTATGTCAGAGGGCATATTAAGACTCTCCATCCTAACCCTAACATTAACCCTAATCATGAGCACAACACAACACAAACCTGTTCCAATAAAAACTGCAGCTGTGTTTCTCTTCCCGTCTCTCAGACATGCTGTGGACAGCTCCGGAGCTTTTGAGGAATCCGGTCTCAGGAGGTTCGTTTGCTGGAGATGTCTTCAGCTTCTCCATCATCATACAGGAAGTGATCTCCCGCACACTGCCATATGCCATGATGGACATGCCGGCTCATGGTGAGGGAGGATGTCTGATCAGCTGTGTCTCTTATAAACCGCCTGTCTCTTACCACATGTCTGTCTCCCAGAGATCGTGGAGCGTCTGAAGCAGCCTCCTCCTCTCTGCAGGCCGATCGTTTCGGTCGATGAAGCTCCTACCGAGTGTCTCACGCTGATGAATGAATGTTGGAATGAAGACCCGAGTAAGAGGCCGAGCTTTGATGACATTTTCAAACAGGTGAGCCGAGTCTCACTGCTGCCACCTGCTGCCTTCTACAGGCTCGGGGTTATTTTCTGATTTCATCTCGACTCCTTCGACAATCTGTTTGCAGTTTCGAGGTATCAGTAGAGGCAGGAGGGCCAACATCATCGACTCCATGCTGCGGATGTTGGAGCAGTACAGCTCGAACCTGGAGGATCTGATCCGAGAACGAACGGATGAATTGGAGATTGAGAGAACCAAGACAGATAAGCTGGTGGGGCAGCTCCTGCCAAAGTAAGACTAAAACAGCAAATTACTAGTAATAATTAGCAGTAATGTGAACTGGAGGTGGGGTCAGAGTCTCTGATGAGTGGGTGGATAAGAGTCCTTGAGAATAGAACTGGGTCGTTGGGCCTCGTTAATGAAGTTCACTGCAGACAGGAATGAAAGGTCCTCATGATGCAGACTTTGGTCCTGATGGGACCCCGACTCCCGAGAGAGGAGTGGCCATGGTGGGAGGGTTTAGCCTGGCTCGGGGTTGTGGAGTTGCACAGGTGCTAATGAGAGGGCATGCTGCAGCCAATCACTCCTCAGGTTATGAATGATGAGCTGCATTGTGCATTTGGAGGAATGTCCTAACATTATCTTTGGTGAGTTTAACTTGTTCCTGTTTCGCAGGAAGTTCGTCCTCTGTTGTGCTCTTTTGATTTGAGCTTGTTTAGCTCTCTGAGGACCTGTGAGATGACAGCTGCTGGCAGGCTGAAAGGTAACCCTGTCTTAACTGGAATCAGACAGGATCATTGATATGGTTGGTGCCAAGGTTTTCAACTCCACTGGGGGCAGATTCTGACACCAGGTCACCAGATAGTGACTCTTTCAACCGTAGTTGGATTCATCCCCATTCAGCCAAAACATAGCAGGTTGAGCATGGTAATCACGTTCCTGTCTGCTGGACTGTCAGCACTGGTTATCTTCCAGGCTGTTTCGCTGGCAGGCAGCAAGTCTATGATCCCCCTGCAAGAGGAGTACATTTAGGCAGGAGGATTTGTTCTTTGGCAGACCAGGATGATGATGGCATTAAAAGTGGAGCTAAACTGGAATCCATTATTGGTTCCTGCGGAGTCCTGGGTTTGTAGGATGCAGTGGAGAGCCATGTTAAACTTCTGGCCTCTAGTTTGGCTGTTTGCTGCATGGTTACACTAAGCAATGAAAACTTTGCGAGTTCCCATTTGTTCCAGGTCTGTGGCTCAAGCTCTGAAGAAAGGGAAACCAGTGGAACCTGAACATTATTCGGACTGCACCCTTTACTTCAGCGACATTGTTGGATTTACAACCATTTCTGCTCTGAGCGAGCCCATCGAGGTACAAACTGTTTGAACTTGTTTTTGTGCATTTCATTTTTCAGTGTTTCACTAAACCCGTGTGTGTGTAGGTGGTCGACCTGCTGAATGACCTCTACACCATGTTTGATGCCATCATTGCTCTCCATGATGTGTACAAGGTAACACACTTCCATTTAAAACACGTGTCTGACCTAAACAGTAAAGATTTCTCTTCATTTCTGGATTATCTGAACAAAGACACATGAAATTTGGTTCTGGTTTTGTTATAGGTGGAAACTATTGGAGATGCCTACATGGTGGCTTCAGGTGTTCCCAACAGGAATGGGAATCGACACGCAGCTGAAGTGGCCAACATGTCTCTGGACATCCTGCACTCGATAGGAAACTTTAAGATCAAACACATGCCCGAGATTAAAGTCAAAATCCGCATCGGACTGCACTCAGGTACACCTGTCCACCGTTATCTGCTCATTCAGTACCAGGACGTCAGGAGAGGGTTCATTTATCAGTGTAACTACTATACTATCAGCTTTCCTCATCTGAAGAATCCAGAGTATGTTCAATGTGTCTCAGGTGTAAGTCACTCTTAGTGTGGACACGTGTGGATGAGATTAGTGAAGCTCGACTTCTGTGGGCAACTGCTGAAAGATTTAGAAATGTCGGGAGTAGTGAGTAGAAGTGTCTGTTGACAGAACTGTTTTGGGAGACCTCAGGGCTGGCTCAAGTCCTGCCTCATCAGCAGCTGGTGCTCAGACCACAAGGATGGGAATGATATTTGAACCAGTCAGACTGGATTACAGTACCAGTTTTGGACAAAACAGTTTAATGGTTTTTCTTGCTGAAGGCATCAACTAATAATGAACACGTGTTGAATTATGTAGTAAATCAAAAAGTGTGAAATAACTCAAAACACATTGTTTGTTTTATATTTTAGATTCTTCGTAATATCCAGACTTTGCTTTGATTACTGTGTAACCTGGACGTGTGTCCCTCTATCCTAATGAAGGGATCCACCCTACTGGCCCCAAGTGTAATATTTACAATGTTCGGGTCTCGGGCCTCCCAGTGAGAATCACCACAAGGCTACTCCGAGGCGCACTCACTGAGCCTCTAGGTTCTGAAAGGAGATTGGCAGCAGCAGACTAAATGGAAGCACATAAGGCCTCCAGCCCACACAACACTGCTGATGGGAATTCTGGGTCTTTCTAGGCTTGGCTCACTAAAAAGAGGAAAACCATGACTGAAGTAATGATTGCCGGTTGTTTCTCTTTATTTAGCTGATTGGTTTTTGCCATAATATGAATTGTAACAGTTGTCAAATATCAGCTGTGTACCAACCTGATTTCTGCACAACACTACTGATGGTCCCAACCCCATTAAGAATGCAAGAACCATTCTTAATTAGGGGGCGACCGTGGTGCTGGGGGTTGGGATGCGCAATCCTTAACGGGAAGGTCGCCGGTTTGATCCCCGGGCTCTCTGTCCTGGTTGTTGTGTGAGGGGCCGATGGCGCGATATGGCAGCCTCGCTGCTGTCGGTCTGCCCCAGGGCAGCTGTGGCTACAACTGTAGCTGCCTCCACCAGTGTGTGAATGTGAGATTGTAAAGCACTTTGGGTGCCTTGAAAAGTGCTATATAAATGTAATCCATTATTATTAGAACCAATGAACCCTGACAGGCTCACCTGTGAGGTGAAACCATTTCAGGTGACTACATCATGAAGCTCATGGAGCAGGATAAGGGTTTGCAGCGCTGTCAACAAAGCAAAGGGCAGCTACTTACAGGAATCTAAACTATAAAACATATTCAGTGTTGTTTTGCTGTACCCTCAGTCATCCAGGTGAGTAAATCCAAAAGAGTGTATTCAGTTCATCTGAACGTTCTCAGTGAGAGAAACGTTTCATCATCATCATCCAGGTGGCTTCAGTCTCAGCTGACTGCAGGTTTCCGACCTTTGCATCTGCATAATGACTGAAACCAGCCCACTGAAGGAACAATGGGCTGGGAGGTCAGTTCCTTGATCATTAATATTCACATTGTCATGTGGGCTGCTCCTGCCGGGAGCGGTGGAGGAGCTGCTCCAACCGGAGATGGCAGATGAGGGGCGCAAGGGTCCACACCGACTGGAGAAAGAGGAGCTGCTCCAGGAAGGGCTGTTCCAGCCGGGAGTGGTGGAGGAGCCTCATAAGCCAGAGGTGGACGAGGGGCGAGAGGGGCTGTGCCTGCTGGAGGCAGAGGCGCTGCACGGGGAGCCGTGCCAGCCGGGTGGCTTCCCAGCCTCAGTCGGGCGATGGGGGTATTTGGCGGGGCGTGGCCTGCGGTGCTGTGCTGTGCAGAGCAGGTGGACACACCTGCACGGCATCGGCAATCTTGCCCCGCCAACTTAAAAATGGGACTGGTTCCTGACTGGGGTCTGTTGGTGATGTGCATTGAGGAATAAACATGTACAGAACACAACTGGGTCATGGCCCATTGTTCACTCATGCTGGTTTCAGTTACTGTGCAGATGGACTGTTTATAAGGTTGGAGAAAGCTGAGACTGAAGAAGTGACAAAGCATTTCTCCCACTGAAAACTACATCCTACATCCAGCTGAACATAATCAACTTTCCTGGCATATTTAAAGTTGTTAATGAGTTTTTTCTTTGCTACATAATTCCACATGTCGTGCTTCATATATATGAAGTCTTGAGTTTGTATCAAAAGTAGTAAAAATAAAGAAAAACCATTAAATGAGAAGGCGTGTCCAAACCTTTGACTGGTAGTGTATTTTTGTTCCCAGCTAGCTACATCTCTGATTAAAGCATGGTAATAATGGTTCCTGAGGTTGTCAGCGGTGTTAGTGCCAGGTAAAGGTCTGGCCCTTCCTGTCTTCAGGTCCCGTGGTAGCAGGTGTGGTTGGACTCAAGATGCCCAGGTACTGTCTCTTTGGAGACACGGTGACCACGGCCTCACTCATGGAGTCCTCTGGGCTACGTAAGTAAAATCTTTGATCAATGGTTGGATCACTGAGAGACCACCCTGAAGTCTCTCCTGTCTGCATTTAAATTATGTCAGAATCACTAGTTTCCTTCATTAGTTGCGGTGTGACGATGTGTTTGTGGTCTGCAGCTTACAGGATCCACATCAGTCTGAGTACGGTCAAAGTCCTGACCAGTCTGAAAGTGGGATACCACATAGACACCCGGAAGGCGCAGGTATGCCAATCTAAACAGACCTGAAGCAAATCCAAATGTAATTGCATGACGCAGTAGCTGTGGATGCTGTTAGAAAACACACACAATGGTGATAAAGGCAGCACGCTGGCTCGGGTATTAGCACTGTTGCTTCACATAAAGAAGGTCTTGAGTTCGATCCCACCCCCTGCCAGGGCCTTTCTGTGTCCTGGGTACTGTGGCTTCCCACAGTCCAAAGACATGCAATTAGTGAGGTTATGTTAATTGGAGAATCTAAACTGGTCATAGGTGTGACCACGAAGCTTAGCCTTGAATCAGGCTGGCGACCTGTCCGGGGTGTACCCTGCCCCACCCCTGCGACCCTGATGAGGATGAAAGAGAATGGATGGTTTACAAAACCTTATCTCAGAGGTCAGGTTATTACCCTCAGGTTTACTGTAGTCCAGTCTGACAGGTTCAGAGTCTGGTCCAGATCCCACCCTGTCCACAGTTACTCAGCCTGATGCCAGTCCGTGGTGGGACTCGTTGATGTTTGGATGCTTGTGTTGCAGGTTAAGGGCACAGAGGACACGTACTGGCTGATGGGTCGAGAAGATTTTAATAAACCTCTTCCTGTTCCTCCAGACCTCGCCGGAGGGTAAGAACACCCAGCGGTCATTATCGATTACCAATAAAGTAATCCTTAAACTGAAACTCGCTCTCCACCTGTCTCTGTCAGGGCCAGCAACCATGGAATCAGCCTGGATGAGATTCCAGTCGACAGACGACAAAAGTTTCTGGACCGACAGAACAAGATGAAGAAGTGACAACACACACAGTGTCATCAGCTGATGAGACCCTCTCAAAGACATCTGAACCCTGGAGATCTTCAGCCTCCCGAAGGCTGTAAAGTCTGAGTGCACAAACCAATCATCACCATGGGTGCTAATTTCTACTTCCTGATTTAACTGGAAGTCCTCTTTGATTGGTCACTGACATCGCTTCTGTCTGACTAGTGGAATTTGTCCCTCACACTGTCTGATGTTTGCACAGTTGTATAGAAACTAACTGTTACCATGGTGACTGTGATGTGTTAGTGACCTTGAAATAGAATCAGGGTTGTTCATGTCCAATGAATGCTGGGTAAATGACTGTTAAAGAGTGGATGCGTGACAGATGTTGTGATGATCAGTAATCGGTTCTGCGCACTGACGCTGGCTGCATGCTGTCGCTGTTCCTCATGCTTCTTTAAAATGTAAATGTTCCATTAAACTCTGAGGTAGACTCAGTGCTTAAATATGGATTTTCCCAGATGCTCCTGAAGGCACCGTCTTCCTCAATAAGTCAATCAAACGTGCAGTTCAGGTCTATTTTCTTCACTACCAGCTGAGTTTCACATAATAATCTGTAAAGATAACACACAAACACCCATTGTTGTGTAAGTAATAATACTTTTTTAAAAACAAATGACAAAAATCCTAAAAAGAGTGAAAAAACAAACAAAAGTGGAAACAATTTAGTTTAAATATTGTCTGAATTAGACAGAGGGCGGCTGCTGAGATGCTGTCTGCTGACAGGTGAGGGCTGAAACGAGCCACTGACTCCTCCTTTTAAACCTCCCCCTCAGTCTGCATGTTTCTTTATTCCCTTTCCAATTTTCATTCGTTCTCATGTTTTGTGCATTTTGAATTCATTTCCTTGTGCTTCCTCTTCTTAAATCCTATTTTTAAGCTTTTCACCTTCTGAATTCAAAAATGGACATTCTCTGGATTATTCCAGTTTTACCTTAAAGTTGGTTTAAAAGTATTAAATTTTTTTTGATATAACCCCTACCCCTCTCTGATTGCTAAACATAAGCTGCTGTACTCCAGTTAACCTGGGTTTCGATAATCGATTTTAGCTTGAATAAAGTGATATCGATTCATTAAATCCTGAATCAGTTTTTAAATATAAATGTATTTTGCCAGAAATGCCAGAATCTCAGGTTAAAGCTCACAAAACTACACTGCTCAAAAAAATAAAAGGAACACAAAAATAAGAGATCCCAGATGTGAACGAATGAAATATTCTTATTGAATATGTAGTTAGATCAAGCATGGAGGTCTGGATTTGGAGTCACACTCAAAATGAAAGTGGAAAAACACAGGCCGATCCAACTTTGATGTAATGTCCTTAAAACAAGTCCAAATGAGGCTCAGCAGTGTGTGTGTGGCCTCCCTACAACACCTGGGCATGCTCCTGATGAGGTGGCAGATGTTCTCCTGAGGGATCTCCTCCCAGACCTGCACTAAAGCATCTGCCAACAATAAAGGACCTTGAACCTTGAACACCTGGACAGTCTGTGGTGCAACATGATGTCCCAGATGTGCTCAACTGGATGCAGGTCTGGGGAACGAGTGGGCCAGTCCATAACATCAATACCATCGTCTTGCAGGAACTGCTGACACGCTCCAGCCACATGAGGTCTAACATTAGCTGTGTCCCAAGTCAGGGGCCTCATCCTTCAGAGGCATTTGAAGGCCGATCACGTCACAGCCAGGCGATGAAGGCTGCTCCAAATGCGGCCTTCATTTCCCCTGATTTGAAGCATGGGTCAGGTGTGTACTTTGTGGCCCAGCCTATCCCAGAATTCATAGCGCTGCCTAACCAATTCAGTTTCTAACGATGGCAGCAGCTACGGAGACGGTGGAAATTGTTAATGTTAAGATATTAAAGTTAATGGAAGTTTCATTTTAAATATTAACGTGATTTATTTTACATTCATTAAACTTACGTGACTGTTTTTAACACAAGGGTTGGTTTTAACATTACTCTTATTTCTCTTTCTGGGTCACAAAATAAACGTAACATATTGTCAGGCGAGAAAGTAGCTGTGTAAACCTCAAATATCTGCTCGGTTTATCAAGACACCACATATTTGCAAAAGTGCTCCGACGTTTTCAGAGACGTCTGTTACCCACTAGCTCGATAGCTGACTGGGAGCTCGAGGCTCAGTAAAGCCGGCGAGAGCAGGCATGAACAGGCAGCGAACTCACGGCACATCGTTCTTTTAACCCCCCGCCGTCTTTCACTACTCAGGTTAAACATGATATATGAGTCACTTAGATAACCTAAAAATGTTGTTGTTTGGCTTTTTTCAGTGTTTCATTTGTTCCTGAGTAAATCGGTTTGTTATAGTAACTTATAGTTTTCACACAGCTGAATAAACGTCAAACAGACAGCTGATCATCAGAAGTGTGAGATGATTGAGAATCTACGCCTGTGTCCTGTTATGTTTTAGATAGCAAGGAGCAGACGGCGAGTTTATTAAACTCCAGCGAGACAACGGACACCTTTTCACCACTGTGGGCTGCAGGTGCAGCAATAGTATGCAGCTCTTACTCTGTTACGTGTAAGGCAGAGTGATGTTTTTGGTCTTGTGGTCCTAATTTAGTACAGTTTGCTGTGGATGCTGTTCAGGGACTAACATGAGTGGGATGTTCTCTTATATTCTGTCTGTTACGGCAATTCTTATGAAGATGGGCCTGGTGGGAAAAATCACCCCTTTGCAGGCCAACAAAACAAAACAAAGTATGTACAGCAGTGTTAAAATATGTATTGTTAACTCTAATCTTTTGAACTTATTCGTGTAAACCTGTACTGTTGCTGTTTTTGTCCATTGCCACTTGTGATTTCCTCTGCTGTTAGGATTGCAAGTATCCAGGGTCAGGCGAGGCAGTGAGTGGGAAGCCCACGGCTGCTAAATGGTGCTGGTCTGTATTATGGATGAGGTGTTGGGACAGAGCCTTCTACCAGGCTCCAGTCCTAATTGTCTCCATCCAGGAGGACACTGCAGGCCCAGTTCAGCAGTGGGCCAGCTGCAGCCAAGAGTGGACAAAAGACAGACAGGAAGGATGACTTTTTGGACTTAATAACAGAGGGCATGAGACTGCAAATGGAAACGGAGGAAAGAAGAGCAGGAGAATGGACAGGCTTCTTCACAGTCATGTCTCCCGGGGCCAGCTGGCTGATCCTTTGCCACTTTCCTCTCTGACACTGTTGGTAATCTAGGTGTTCTGTGATGTAGCTCTTTCAAACATGATAGACAACTATCCTCTGCACTCAAATCTAGCTTTTACCAGCTGCTTCTTATTTCTAAGGCTAAGCATTATGTAACACACAAGGATCTTTTAGCTGATTCATGCCTTTGTGACCTTCTGATTGGATTACTGTAATTCCCTCTACTTCTGGCTCCAGTCTGCTCCATAGATTGCAGCTTGTCCAAAATGCTGCGGCACGCCTTCTGACTGCAACCGGCCGGTTTGCCTCTTTCACTCCTGTCCTTGCTGATTTGCACTGCCTCCCTATCAAATACCAAATTTAATGAAAGTATTGCTGCTCACCTTTAAAATCATAAACCATACAGTGTCTAGCTATCTCGTTGAGCTCCTTAGACCATACACCCCTGGGAGAGCCCTCACATCATCAGCCCAATTACTCTTGGTACAGCCTAGATCTCAGCCTAAGACCAGAGGTGAGCGTGCATTTGCCCTGGTTGCGCCTAATTTGTGGAACAACCTGCCCATTCCTATCCCTATTCTATGTCACCGTCTGGTATGGTAACTGCACCGTATTGGATTGCAATACCCCACAATGGATAGTGAGAGGAGCTGTGAAGATCACTGGAGCCTCTCTTCCCTCCATCACGGACACTTATAGCAACTGCTCCACCCGCAAAGCCCCCAGCATCATGGAGGACCCCACACACCCCTCACACACACCCTTCATCCTGCTGCCTTCTGGAAAGAGGTACTGGAGCATCCGGGCCCTCACGACCAGACTACCGTTCAGTTTCTGAGAGCGATCGTGGCTCAAGAGTTGGGAGTTCGCTTTGTAATCGGAAGGTTGCCGGTTCGAGCCCCGGCTGTATCACTAATTACAGGAATGTAAAGAGCATTTATGGGCTTGCTTCCTCCAGAAGACTCAGGTTGTTCCTGATAACTGAATGAAATCTCAGCTGTGATGGAGCTTTGTGTGTGTTTGCTGAGTGTGTGTCAGAGCTGCTGCTCACAATAAACTGAAAGTGTTTGAGGAACAAAGAGAAACAAAGAAAATCCGCTGATGATCCAGTAAAGACACTCTGAGCAAAGTGACTGAATGAAGCAGATTTTATTGAGGATTGACAAAAAAGTGCATCGAGCAGGAGACGATTCATGTGGACGACCCGAACATAGAGAATCTGAACAGATCAAGTCCAACATGAAAGGATCCAAATGTTTCCGCTTGGCCTGAGCCATCACAAATATCCAGCATGAACACATGAAGAATCAATCGAGGCATCGATCAGCTGGAAGAAGATCAGATTTCAGGACTGGACTCAGAAACACTGAAGAGTGACAGTTGGATTATTTCCACACTGTGTCTGAGTTCAGTGTCTCCAACATCCTCTGCACTCACTGAAAGACAACAACATGTTGGACTGTCTCTGGATCGTGTCAGTGACACGTTACTGTCCCACAACCAGTTTACTGAGTCAGCATGAGAGGAGCAGCAGGATAAAGCTCACACTGACAACAGTAGAACAACATTAGAACAACGTGACAGAAACACATGTATTTGTGGAGAACACAGAGTTTAGTTTGTGACGTCAGAGCAGCAGGGAGCTGTTCTCACACACTGTTGTACTGATCGTTAAACAGCAGGGGGCGCCTCACTGCATTTACAGCACAGCTGGCAGCTCTGCTCTGCATAATAACTGACTGTGGAGTTTATGTAGTAATA